TATATAACGATAATCTTTTACAATTTCAATGATAGTGGCCAATCCTAAATGTAAGCAACATCAACAGCAGCAACAAGCACAAGCTGTATAATACTAATGGCTTATGTGTATTTAAAATGGTGTTAAACTTATTAGACTAGAATTAAAACATTTTGACGTATTTTATCAATTTCATTTTAAAAACAACTCCAAAAAACAATTTAGGCCAAAAAGCAACAACAACGTACGAATACGTGATAGATGGTCAACAGAAAAATAACTAAAAGATAATGTTTATTATCAATTAAGCAGATCTTAGCTATTCTGTATAGTAGAACCATAGTAACACGGAAAACTATTCATTAATAAGTAGTAACATAACACAACATAACATCAAGCCTTTTATCCCCGAAGATGTAGGCAGAAATGTACATTATGCCTATGTACAATTTAACACCCTTTTTTCACCATTTATGTTGTGAGTCCCATGTAATAAGGGGTGAGCCTATAGCCATATACCGGGCACAATTCTAGGCTTCGTGCTACTATCGACAATTAAAAAAAACCCCGTAATACTTTGCCCGAACCGGGAATCGAACCCGAGAGAGACCCATTGCCCATCAGTCACATATGCAACCACTCGACCAACGAAGCAGTCAAAAGTAAGAAAATAAAAAATATGTGTCTAATGATTTAAAATAATGTAGAAGACAAGGCATCTACCCTATTTTCACACAAAACAAGTTTCTAATCATCCGCATTAATTCTCCTTCATTTACAAATTAAGTAGATACATAATATGAGCTCCACATTCACATATATTTTTGTAACATATTTTGGTGTTACAATAATGTGAAAGTAATTGTTTAATAAAAGTGGATTGTAGATTTAGAACTTTATTCACAGGTATGTATTTCTTTTCAACTACATATATTTTTTTTTCATATTTATCGTTTGTTTTAATTAATAAAATTATCATGTTGTTCAAGATTTTTTTTTAAATATTGTGTTCATTAATTTTGTTTTGTGTGTTAATGTAATTAGTGTAAAGTCGTGTTAATATAACAATAATAAATAAATAAATTTGAAGTGCATTATTGACCTCAACCAATTTTGGGAAAATCGTTGCCAACTGGTTGCTATTCCTAAAGTTCAATAGGAGCAAGCTATTGCCTACCCATTTAAAAAGAACTATACAATGACAATTATTATAGACATGCAAGAAAACAGACAATCATTTTTAGACACTACTAAAATTGAAGATGAAGATGTTGCTTTGGAGAAAATACTGTCAAAATTTCGTCCTCTTGGGCCGTACTATGTGCGTTTCATGCCATTTCTGATGTTCGCTTGTTTCACCAACGGATTCTATTGCATGAACTACGTATTTGCTGTGGGTATGGTTGATTATCGGTAAGTTCAGTGTTCAATCTCTAAGCAATTAGACATAAAATCCATATTTGAGAATCAGAAATATAATAAAAAAAAAGAAAATGTATATCTGTCGATTATTAGGACCTTGTTTGTTTGTTTAAAGTCCATATAGAGAATTTTATGAAGTAAATCTAGGCCTACTAAATTCATTCACTGTTTCCGAGTCTACCTTTTGTACCCAACGGCACATTTAAAAAAATAGGAGTCTAGACAAGAGTTAGAATCGGTATGGTAATACAAACCTAATACGTAAAGTAGATAATTTTCTACGTACAACATTACAGTTGTAAATACCCAGAATGCATGAACACCACATCGCTGTCTGCAACAGCTCTGAACTTCACCCAGGACACATGTCACAAGTACCAGCTCTCAGATCACAACGGCACGTGTTCAGTAAACGGCAACTTGTCGAATGTGCAAGATTGTGTGGAGTGGGAGTATGATGAACCTACCAGTTTTGTGGCTGAAGTAAGTATCATATTTGAAGAAGCAATAGAGTTTCAACAGGAGTCCATCTACTTTGGAATATTCATCAACAGCATATCTTATTTATTCATACCCTTTAATCCCCAAGTGGTTGCCGGTGACCGCTCTCCAGTAACTACATTATAGACCTTATTTCCGATGTTTAGAGACTACTTTTGTATGAACAAATTTGGGTACGATATTTCAACACTATCATACAATGGAGGACTTAATGGCGAACGAAATTTTCTACCAGTCAACTACATGGTTGGTGATGCAGAGAAGTGTTACAATAAAAGCAAGCGTTAAGTAATTTTAAATTTACATATTTTCAATCATAACAAGATAGTACAAGGATCAGAATTGCATCTATTCTTCAATGCCACATTACCATCAGAAAATAGGATCCTGATAAAACATATAATAGCAATATCACATATCTGATTCCTGCACCCACTTGTTGCCTTTATAATATGAGACGAACTTGTCAATAGGGCCATATTTCATACAGCATAGAGTTCAATCTGATCTTGTTTAAATTCTAAATTAGCATACTTATTGTCAGTTCCAGCTTGGGTGTCAGGATTGGAAACGAGCTCTGGTTGGTACAGTGCACAGTTTCGGATATATGCTTGGGCTGTTGCTGTTGGGACCAATCTCTGATAAGTAAGTTTCGTATAAACTTCATCCAGTACTGACCTAAAACTAATCATCATCAGCCAGAAGACGTCCACTGCTGAACAAAAGCCTTCCCTTAGTCCTCCACGTTGAACGACAACTGTCCATCCACGTCCACTGACTCTCTGCGACTCTGATTATGTGGTCGGTCAACCTGGTGGAAGTGACTTATGAAATGTTAAAATTAAAAAAATCTTTTTCCAGGATAGGAAGAAAGAAAATTATAGTTTTCACTGGAGTCATGGGTGGTGTCTTGGGCCTCGCCAGGAGTGTCACAGTGTCCTACTGGACTTACGTAGCATTTGAGCTCATGGAGGCATTCTCTGGAGACACGTACTCACCGAACTATATGTTGGGTAATTTTTTTCTTTCTTCTGTTCTCTTTAACTTTTTTATTGAACTTGAGATCTATGTCCTTTTATTTCATTTTCTCAGGTGTAGAAATGGTGACCAAAGAAAACCGAGCCCTATTTGCTCCTTTAATGATAGCATCCATGTCTATATCAGGAATCATAATGGCACTGGCCGCCTGGTTAGTCCCCTATTGGAGGCACTTCTTAAGAGCCATCTACATTCCAGCTCTAATCTTCATTCTTTACGCTTTCTTTCTCGACGAATGTGTAAGGTGGCTTCTGATAAAAGGTAAAAAGAAAGAAGCCAAAAATATTTTGAGAAAAGCTGCCAAGATCAGCCATGTTCACATTGAAGAGAGTACACTGGACAAAATCGATTGTGAAAAAAGGGATGCCAGTGTGAATTTGATCACTCTTTTGAAAATGACGTTTTCATCAAAGACTTTGTTCCTAAGATTTCTGGCTTGTGCTTGTGCATGGATTACAGCCACTTTCAATAAATACGGTTTAATGATAAACGCCGTATCTCTGGAAGGAAATAAGTACGTCAATTACGCTCTAACGTCTTTCGCAGACTTTCCAGCGAGTCTGTTACTTATTGTCATTCTAATAAAGTTCAAAAGAAAAAAGCCATTGATATTTTCATTTCTGATGACTGGGTCTTTTTGTGTCGCCCAGTCTTTTGTGCCAAGAGGTGAGTGGAAACTTCATCACTGTCTTATCAGATCTGTATAAAATTACAGGGCTTTAGTAATAACTATAATACAGGGAAGTATATTATAGGTTAGATACCAGATAATATTAAGTTATTAGATGTTCTATTAAATTTAACAATACTATATATAGTTATAACTATCTTTTACTGTGAATGACATCAAATCGACATTCACCTTTTTCAGATAAAATTGGGATCTTTAACTTCCATTTTTGTTTTCAGGCTACCCAATACTTTCAACGTCTTTATTTTTTGTTGGCAAGTTCACAGCGGCCCTATCTACAGGAACAGTGTATTTATACACTACTGAGCTTTTCCCAACTTATACAAGAAACACAATGCATGCTTTATGCTCCTCTATTGGACGATTTGGGGCTATTCTTGCACCGCAAACTACTTTGTTGGTAAGTACTTAGAACACTGCATCCTTACTAAAGAGGATTCACCGCTTTTATTGGTTTATTAAGTCGAGGACATAACTATGTCAAAGAATTAAAAATCATTCTTGATCAGATGCCGAAAATACGAGACTCCTTATTCCTATAACCCTAATACAAGGATACATGCTCCAAATTAGCACATTTAAAAGAGTTCTATTGAGCATGCTCAAAAATTGAACGCTTGTCGATTCGCAAGCATGCCTGAAATTACCATGTTAATTTTGAACAAGATTCCGACACACAAGCTATTAGTGTAGAGGTATAGTGTATAGTATAGTGACGAGTGCTCAATTGAAGCATGCTTTCGTGTATAAGATTATCATGCATATCATCAAATAACAGGCGCGCCAATTTCTAAACAACAGTTACACACCCCAATTAAACACCACTTGCAACCCTTGCTTCTTTATGCTTACTTGCTCATTCCAGATTCGTTACTGGAAAGGATTCCCATCACTGATCATCGGAGGCTTATCCCTGACTACAGCCCTGATAATGATGATGATGCCTGATACTGCGGAAGACGTGTTACCTGACACCGTGCAGCAGGCTGAGGCACTTGGTACCAAACGTGTCAAGGAAGACAGGAATGTTTCTGAATCTTTGTTATAAGTTGGTCAATTGCTTATGTAATTTTTTTTGGGTGGATCGAACAGATATAGAAAGAAAAAGTGTTTATAGAGACATCCGGCGTCAAGGATTTTAGACCAGCTCCCTGAGCACTGGTTTCCTGCATAGATACATAACTACCACCTAATAAAAACATGTATGAATATACAAAGAAAGAGAAAAGGACTGTAAGCTTAAATAAAGTTTTTCATGCAAATGTTCTACTAATTATTGTTATTAATATTTCTTGGTAACTGATAAGTTCGTCGAACTGATACTTATTAACATTCAATAAATTATGATCTTCAATGACAGTCCTCTACTGGACTATAGGCCTCGTTTTCTTCCCATGATGTTCATGTTTGCGTTTATATAACAGTGGTGGAATTTTATATGGGAACACTGCGAGCCGATATTTATCAAACGCAAGAATTCCTTTTCATTTATGAATGATCAAAGATTATTTTTACTTTTCTTCAATCTATTAGCATAGAAATGTTCAATCATATAAAAATATTATCTCATTTTTTCCTCATTACTCATTATATGACTCAACACAGCTGCCATAATCAATCTTATACATAGGGGTTTAAGGAAAGTCCACGATAATGTCGCTTATGACTTTCTATCACTATGATAAGGCTTAGTGCACCTGCGAATTTGTTATGACTATTCAATTGTTATACAATAATGTTTACATAGGCAAATGATCACAAATGATGGCATCTACAATTGAACATGCCAGCTGTTGCCAGCAATGGTTATAGAAACAACAATGTTTAAAACATTAATCTCCTTGTTTGATATAGTACTATCTACTGAAAAAAAAACACAACTTTACTTTGTGTTTTTAAACTCATGATGCAAATGCCTAGTTGTTTACGTTAGTCTTCGAAATAGAAACATTAATCAATTCTTTGCCAACAACCACTAGCTGCCGCGCAACGTGTCGCAGGCTTGATTCCCGCACGGAACAGCTATTTATGTGATCCACAGATTGTTGTTCCGAGTACAGGCCTAATGTGAGTAAAATATTAATTAGCTCGAAATTATTATTGTCAACTCGTAAAACAATATAACTTAAACTAAGACAAATTATTGCCTTATGTATAGGATTTTAAACATGCATACATACATACCGAACAATGTTTAAACAAGTGACGCAAACACGTGTAGGTAATTTTACATGGCTATACTTCGTTCCACTTGAACACAAACTGATTTTACTATAATAATAGTACAAGAATTTTGCAGAACAATATCATTTATTTCATTGGCCAAACGAGTCTACACTCCTTTTAAACCGATCCTTGAATCGTACGTCATTGTCGGCCCATAGTGATTTGATTAAATAATAATGTTATTCACAACAACGAGACCAACAGAGTGCTTCATTCACAGATCAACTGTTTACATGACATCACGAAAGTTTTAAACTAAACACTTCCTAATAATAGAAGTAAGTGAAAAAAATGCTAAGTAGTTTATAATGAAGTATTAAACACAAGTACTCTGTGAAGTGGCAAATTCCTCAAGGTTTTCTGAAATTGTCGTTAAATGATTCGAGTACAGCCTCTAGAACACGTGACTTCAGTACCAGCCGCATATTATTCAACTAGCCGTAATAAAAACACATACTGTCCTCTATCCAATACACTAAGCGAACTCAAAACAATGAAATGAACTAGTGTCACGCTACCCGCCGCAAAAATAACACTTATAGACGCAACAGTTAATATGAAAAACGATAAAGAAGAAGATATAAAATCAAAACATATAACAGGAGCAAAAAATGAAAAAGAAGGAACAAGATGTAAAGAAAAAAACGAAGATAAACTGGCAGAAGAAGGAAATATGGAATCTTCTGTGAATAGTGAAAATAATTCAAAAGAAACAGTGATGGATTTAGAAAGTGTTCTGCGTGAATTGAAAATATTTGGACGTTATCATTTAAAGTTAATATTTCTGTTAGGAATGCTTGCTTTTGGCAGCATGTGGCATAGTACAAATTACATATTTGCTGTTGAAAATTATGGATACAGGTAAGTGAAAATTTATTAGTTTGATAAAGTAAAGTAACAAGTGATTAATTTACGAAATTGTCCCCGGAGTCAAAGTCAAAGCATTTATTTCATATAATCCTTAATTAGGCACCTTTGAAACGTCAAAATTTTTAACTGTTCGTCTGTCTGTCAATAACCTAGCTTTACTGTTCCGAAGTGTAGTTTTTAATGGAGAAGAACAAGCCAGAAACTCCATAACGAAGGAACGAATATCTAAGGCATCCCTGGGAGAATACGTCTACTTTTACTCCCTTCATTTGTTGACCCATCAAAGAGTAAATAACACTACTCAACACTTAAAAAATATCTGACCCAATTCATATTATTTCATAATAAGCTTGACCAATATAAAAATACTGTATGCATTTTATTTCGATATCACATCTGGTTATAGAGATAAATATTTTTTTATTTTTTTACCTACCTACAATAGTTAAAATGCGGGTAGTCCGGAAACTTATTACTTTTGCAAATGGAACATAGTGCATTTGTTAGTATATTAACTGACTTCTAAAATGTCGCGAGTGTGTGTTAACAGTCCTGATTTATTTTGCTATATTTGTGGCGAGTTTACGCCGAAATCGTAAGTTTCCTAAGCTTAGTGACGCGAAAATTAAAGAGGGTGTTTTCGTAGGTCCAGACATAAAAAAGCTGATTCAAGATCCATCTTTTATATCTGCTCTCAATAATATTGAAAAACAAGCATGGAACGCTTTTGTCGATGTCACTAACAATTTCCTTGGTAACAAGAAATCTGAAGATTTTCGCGAAAAAAT